GACTATGACAAAGTGAGATTTGTTCATTTGTCTCTGGGTTTGGATTGGAAGGCATTATCAGCAGAGGCTTTTAAGAAATGGTATATAAAACACATCTAGGTGCTGAATTAATGGCATCAAACACATAATAGTGCAAACCATCAGAAACTGGACTATAGGTATTAATGACACTCCAAACTTTTCATATCAGAGAAACAAAAACAAGCACAGCTCTGAAAAAAGTCCAGATCGTCTGGCAGTTCTTGACTTTATCCAAAGCATATCAAATTCCATACTCTTTTCAGATTCTGCTTAAGTTTTGATACATTAAATCATGCCCAAACAATATCTAAGTGGAGATGGCCAATATCCAGAAAGAATTATTGTAGTGTTATTGTAGTGTCTGATCATTTCTGATATCACAGTTGCGCATATCCATCCTACTTTCTTTTTTTACATTTTACTAGGAAGAGAAATAGTCTCATTTTGGCATAGTCCTTACATTAAACCTACCACTCAGCTTCTCAGTGCAAACCTTACATTCATGTAGAGCCTCAACTCCTGTTATGTGACCAAAAAATTGCACTTGTTGTTTCATAAGATTTCCCCAATGGAACTTGCCTCTGTTGTGGGTAATCTCACCAGTAGAGAGTTATTCCTTTGTTTATGTTATGTAATCTGAGATAAGACATTTTTATCTTCAGAAGACTCTGTTTAAAGTCAGTACACCATGGAATGCTACACAAAGCATTGACATTTGTAGCTTAGTGTAGCTTGATTAGTATATCAAATTGTTTCCCATTTAATTTGAGAGGATGAGATGAAAACTGATGAGAAGTTCAAGAGATGGGAGAGAGTGCTATGTTTAGAATATTGAACTTAATCCAGAGTAGAGGGGATTCCTTGGAGAATGGAAAGAAAATGTTTTGATCAGTCATGAAAAAACTGGGGGCCAGAAGGAGGGAGAGAGATCAGATTGAGCAAATGGAGAGAGGAGGTAGGAAGGGGCTACACAGAAATTTCATTGAGTGCTCCATGGCCCCTTTATTCTTTCTCACTCATCATTAATATTGGTCAAAAATGTCTCTTATTTTATTTAAAATTAGTGCCTTACCCAAGGACCTGGCAAAAAAACCCATAAAAACAAAAGAGCAGGTCTACTTATATTAGAAAATTTGAGGAGGGTTTAATGAAAATCACATTTTACAGAGGTGTGTACAGGGTTTAAGAGAAGCAAGAAGGCATGGTACAGAACCTGGAGACTAGCAGTGCAGGGGAACTGTTACCAGCCCTTGGTCTGAAAACATAAAAGGGGGGAGAGGCTGTGAGACCCCAGGTGGAAAACTACCTGGAGAGGCTCTCTGACAGGCACTGTGGTCTTCGATAGAGGAACAAAGCCAGCCCTCAGCACCCTGCCAGACAGGGAGATGGGCGCATAAGCACCCCGGCCTCGCCATCCTCCGGGCCTCCACCTCCCTGGGGGGGCCTCCGCTGGCCAGAACCAACCAGCAATAGGAAGTCCTGTTAATCGCAAGGGAGTCTGGACTGTTTTCATCAGAGAAGGAATCTGTTTCTGTTGACTTTTTATAGAATATTATGTTACTAATAAACTATTCTTCAACTCAAAGCGAGTTAACGCTCTCCTCATCCTGTCTATCGTTAGACAAGGCTTCAGACCAAGAGAGGACTTGCACAGGCCCTAAATTTTGGGTTGAAAATAATGCATTCTATCGGAAACAATGGAGTACAAATGTAAAGTGCCCCTAACTTATAACAGATTTTTTATTAGTTGTTACAACTGTATTCAATCAACTGTACCCAAGTAACTGAACTAAACTATTCCTAAGCAAAAGCCAAAAAAATGACAGGCTGGTGAAAAAATTATTTTGGATGCTAGAAACATTTGCCTTGGTATCACACTCTCAAGTTACTTGAAAATTTTGTAAATTGGGACAGACATAGGACACACACACACACACACACACACTCTGATAGCCAACAAGCTAATTGATAGTAGCTGTACAGCTCATAATTAAGTGGGGAAAAGGGGGGGAGGGATACAATTGTCAGACTCAGACAGATGAATATTAGCATGCCGGCTCTATGCCAACAACCTACAAGTGATAAAACACTGAAATTAGGTTCCAAGTTAAGTAGAAGGTAGGATGTATTTCTAGAGTGGTCAATCCTATAACCACTAACAAAGGAATAGAATATAAAACTCAGAGGTCTTAAATATTAAAGTCTGTACCTTGCATAGGAAAGAATTATTGTTTCTTTTAAAATAAAAGGATTCGATTTTAGATAAAGGAAGGGAGAGAGAAACATCGATGTGAGAGAGAAACATCAATGGTTTGCCCCCCACACGCACCCCAACTGGAGTTTGAACCCACAACCTGGGCATGTATCCTGATCAGGAATCGAACCCACAACCCTTTGGTGCACAGGGCAATGTTCCAACCAACTGAGTCACGCCAACCAGGGCAAGAGTCACTGTTTCAAATTTCAAGTCTGAGGTTCAATGCCAACATTTCCCATAAAGCAAATATATAAATTAGTTAACAATTCCCAGGAAAATAGTGTTGTTTGGATTTGAGGATTTGGTTTATTTATTGTTTGATCTTTGCCCATCTTAGCAAATACTTCTTTTCTTAACCAATAAATGGGAAATGGAAAGAACAAAGTCAAGGCAGTGGCAGACGATGAGACTGCTTTTTCAAAAAGCCTCTGCGTTCATTCCTGGGGCCAAGACCAGTGCGCACTGAGATCATCCTTCAACAATCTGCAGAAACTCACTTCACCTGTTTGTGCTCTTTGACGGCGACGTGGAAGGCTCTGTAGCTGCAGTGGTCTGGCCCGGTACTTAACACCTTAGAATGCGGGTGCTTGTTTGTCTCCACACACCACCCGGGGTGCAGCCCCAGGACGCGCAGCGGGCCAGGGGGCCGCTTTCAGCACTGGTGCTCTAGTCTCCTATTACAGGTAATGAGATCATCTACCTTGGCCACGGCCTGGTAGCAAAGCAAAGCTAGGAACTTTTAATCCACTCAGTATTTATTGTTTCCCCATAGCCAATATTCTCACTAAATAACTGAAGGTAAAAATTCAATTCCAAAAATCTAATGACTCAGGCATTGCAGATTCCACGGATTACCGTTTTTATTCGTGATTGAATTCCTTGTCCGGGCACCAGGATGGGCATGGGTTGTTACCGCTGGTGTACATTCCAATTGGGAGGTGTGGGAAAAGCCAGCAAACGACAAACGAACTCTGAAGGAGCTGGGCGGCAAGCTTCCCAGGATCGCAGATGTCCCCTTGAAAACGAGGGTGACATTTCTGTCAGGAGCTGAAAACAGATCCTTATTGTTCAGGGAAGCTCGCCCCCAGGAGAGTTATGGCCTTAAGGAAAACGTTAAGCATATAGCTCAGAACAAAGCCACTTGCTTTTGCGCATTTTCTGGTCTGTACTGATCACTATCTCTCACACCTGCCTTTCTGTAGCTCACAATAAAAACCGCTGGACGGTGAGGAGGGCTGCTGCAGCGCCTCCAGGGCCCCAACCCTCTGCGTCTCCACCTCAATTCCACATCCTCCGTGTCTCCAGTTTCTCCGCGTCCCACGAGCACAGTTGGCGCAGCGAGCAGGGTCCACAGCGACGGTCTCAGTAAGTCAAGGGGAACCCGAGAGGGACAGATGCGCTAGAGGAAAGCGACACTCCCGGGAAAGAGGGGGCAGAGTCCTGGGGACTCCCCATCCACCGAAACGCAGTGTACAAGGTGGTTGCAGAGCTTGCTGGTGAACTGGGGCGTAAAAGTGAAAGAGAAACAGTTTAAAGAGTTATTCACAGCGGTAAAAAGACACTGTTATTGGTTTCAACCGAAAGGTAAAGCACAATTAAATCTGAAAGTACGGAGACAAGTTATGCAGGCTCTTAGAAGAGCACAGCAGTTAGGGGACCCTGCTCCTATGGGGGTACGGTCATTATGCAATTTCATCTCCACGGCAATTGCCCCGTTTCAGTGGGACTCTGAACACAGCACAGATTATGAGAGGCCTGTTTTTGATGGAGATAAACAAGGGAATGTTCTGTCGGGAAACTATAGATCGGGCCCCAAGGCCCGGGCCCCGGGGAAAACAACGTGGCCTTTCAACAATGCCAGTCTCCGGGGGAAGTCAATTACCCCTCCATGCCCGCACCAGTGTTTCAGAACTAATGCCTGCTGCCCAGGGGAGCGCTGCCCTGGGCCTTCCTAGTGCGCACGATGTTACACTAGTCCCGGGTGCAGGAGTTCAGAAGTTGCAGACTAATGTGTTTGGGCCTATTCCTGAAAATACTGTAGGACTATTGTTAGGTAGAAGTAGTTTGACAACACAGGGAATTTTAGTGCACACTGGAATTATTGATTCAGGCTATTTAGGTGAAACCTTAGTCATGATCAGTGTATCCAAAACTACTAATATCGATGCAGGGCAAAGGATTGCACAATTGCTTATATTACTATATATTAAAAGGGAAAGCTGCACCACTCCAAAGACAAGGAGGGTTTGGAAGCACAGGCAAACAGATCTTCTGGCATACTGTCATTCATGATATATGGCCCAAAATGAAATTGAGGGTAAATAATAGGGAATTTGAAGGATTGTTGGACACAGGAGCAGATGTGTCTATTATAGCTTATCAGAATTGGCCGAAAGAATGGCCTTTGCAAACGGTTAGGGCTCAATTTACTGGAATCGGCACACTAACCAATGTATATCAAAGTACTAAAGAATTACAGTGTGTCGGGCCAGAGGGACAGATAGGACATTGTCAGTTTTATGTGACTGAGATTCCTTTAAATTTTGGGGAAGAGATTTGTTGACTCAATGGGGAGCCACTTTCGAGATTCCTACTATATCTAAATCTGAATGACAGTTCATGCTCAATTGTCATAGTTCTGCAGCAGGAATAGCATTTCCAAATTTAGAGTAGGGGCCCCTGTACAGCGCTTCGCTTTACAACTCACCTGGAAAATGGAACAACCCATCTGGGTGGAACAGTGGCCCCTTCATCAGGAGAAATTAGAAGCGCTGCATGACTTAGTACAGGAACAATTACAAGCTGAACATATTGAACCTTCCTCTAGTCCTTGGAATTCCCCTGTGTTTGTGATAAAAAAGAAATCTGGAAAATGGAGAATGCTGACTGATCTTAGAAAAGTTAATGAGCGTATTCAACCCATGGGTCCTTCACAGCCAGGAACGCCTTCACCAGCTTTAATTCCACAAAAATGGAGTATCATTATTGTAGATCTAAAAGATTGTTTCTTTACGATTCCCTTGCATCCCAAAGATAGAGAAAAATTTGCCTTTACGATCCCTATACTTAATAACGGGATGCCTAATGAGAAATACTAATGGAGGGTTTTGCCACAAGGCATGTTAAATAGCCCTACTGTGTGTCAACAATTTGTGCACCAGCCCCTACAAAAAATCAGAAAAGCTTATCCTGTTAGTTTAATCTATCATTATATGGATGATATTTTGTTTGCTCATCCAGAAATGCCTGTTTTACAACAGATATTTAACATGGCTCAGCAGGAATTGACAGAATACGGGTTAATTATAGCTCCTGAAAAAGTTCAAACTACAACACCCTTTAAATATTTGGGTCAGTTAATTGAGTCTACGACTATCACACCCCAAAAGGTGACCATTAGAAGAGATAGTCTAAAAATGCTCAATGATTACCAAAAATTATTAGGAGATATCAGTTGGCTACGACCATCCTTAGGGATCCCTACATATGCATTGACTCATCTCTTTCAAACTCTAGAAGGCCCTCCAGAACTAGATAGTCCATGGGAATTAACCCATGAAGCAGAAATGGAATTAAACTGGATCGAACAGCATGTTCAAAGGGCTCAGATATATCATATAGAGTCAATGAAAAATTTCCAGTTGCTAATATTTCACACCCCACATTCTCCTACAAGATTGCTAGTATAAGCTATGAATATTATTGAATGGGTATTTCTGCCACATCGTAGTCAAAAGAAAATGGAAGAGTATATTTCAAAAATATGTTATATAATAATCTGAGGTCACAATTGTTTAAGAAATTTAACTGGGAGAGACCCTGACGTAATTATTGTGCCATTCAATAATGCACAAATTCTAACATTGTAGCAATTAAATGAAGATTGGCAAATTGCCTTGTCTGATTTTCTTGGAAAAATTTCTAATCACTATCCCAAAGATAAATTATTTCAATTTCTAAAGAAAACACAATGGATATTATCTACTATAGTTCAAAAGGAACCCGTTAAGGGACTTACATTTTATACAGATGCTAATAAGGCTGGAATGATTGGGTATTCTGGGGAAAATATTTCCCGAGTAGTAAAAACCTCTCTAACCTCTGTCCAGCAGGCGGGGATATCAGCCATTATCCTATTACTGCAAGAGCAAGAACAATGTAGTTACTGACTCTCAGTATGCTGAACTCAGTTAAACATATAGAAACAGTCACTATTATTGAGGATTCCTCACCAATTAATTTATTATTATTACAACCACAGCAGTTAATTCGTGCACATAAATGCCCACTCTATATCACCCATATAAGGGCACACACACAATTTCCTGGACCCATGGCAGCAGGTAATCATGAAATAGATCAGAAATTGATTGGATCAGTTTTAAAAGCCACAAAGGCTCATGCCTTACATCACCAGAATGCAAGGGCCTTAAAAGATGATTATCATATTTCCTGGAGGCAGGCTCGTCATATTCTGCGTCATTGCCCTATCTGTACACGAATACAAGGACCACGAATGCCAGAAGGGGTAAATCCTTGAGGCGTTGCTAGTAATAATTTGTGGCAAATGGACGTAACACATTTGTCTGAGTTTGGAAAGTGGCAATATATACATCATACTATAGATACTTATTCTGGATTAACTTGGGCGACCCCCTTACCTAATGAAAGAGCTGACGCTGTTATAACACATCTTCTTGAGGCTTTTGCAGTGATGGGTCTTCCTACAGCCATTAAGACAGACAATGGACCTGCATACCTGGCAGGCAAAATGCAACACTTCTTTTCTAAATATCATATACAACATGTCACAGGCATTCCTTATAATCCACAGGGCAAGCAATTATTGAACGAGCTAATAGAACCCTCAAGGAGATGCTGCAAAAACAAAAAAGGGGAATAGGGACTCAGTCACCTAGACAGAGAATTGCAAGAGCTCTCTTTACTATTAATTTTTTGAATAAAGACACTCAGGGTGCTACTGCAGCTGAGAAACATTGGACTTGTGAGAGTCCTTCAGAAGTACATCAACCTGCGTATGTAAGGGATGTCCTTACAAATACCTGGATCCCCGCTGAAGTTTGTGGTGGGGCCGTGGTTATGCTTATGTTTCCACAGGTCAACAGAAGTATTGGACACCCGTAAGGGAAATCAAGATTAGACATGAACAAACGAAGGAGGAGTGAATTTGGCAACTTAACTTGAAGCGTGCAGAAGTTAGATCTTCATGCACAAACCATCACTGTCCCTTTGCCTCAAACACAAAGGGCTACGGTTCCCACTTGGGGCCAACCAAAGAAGATGAATCAGAAAGCTGAACAAGGGTTGCAAGGGGCTGGACAGCCAGTAAATGCAACGGCCCTTTTCCTTGCCATGCTGGCTGTTATTTCCACACAGGTAACGCCTACCCAAGCAGAAAACCACACTTATCGGGCATACGTCCCTAATCCACCCCTGAACGGGGGAGTAGGGGGGTGGGATTCTACTGTTCCTATTTATACTAGTGAAACATCGTGGGTGCCAGGACCTTTTGCTACTCGAGGCCCAATAGCTCCTCATGAAGAGGGGGTGATTATTCCCTTTTGTGAAGTAGGAGTAGAGGGTCTACCCATATGCATAGGTGTTCCTGAGCATTGCTTAAAGGTACAGACTGCTGCCTGGGTGTCTATAGTCTGAAATTCTACTAGGAAAGATAAAAAATTGAGGAAATTATTTTTACTCCAGGGAAAAACCTTTAGTGGCAACATCAGCAGCAGCAGCCCACCCTCTCCTGAATGGCCGCCATGCCGTACCACCACGGCAGCATCTTGGAGTGACTGGGTACATTGGGAACAATGTAGAGGTGAAGTGGCTCGGGTTCTTATTAATACTTCCTATGGGAGTGTCACTGATTGGAGCCCTCACGGTTCTGCCTGAGCGAAGGGTCAAGGTTCGGACTTACGGTGGCGTTCTGCTGGTCATGGCAATATATCTACACGTGCTAATGGCACCATCCAATGGCATGGGGGGGCATGTCTGCGAGTGCTCCACATCTAATCGGCGGGCCCTCTCAGTCCCACCTATGGAAGCTGATGAATGCATGAAACCCTATGTGTGCTTGGAATGGGAACATAGGACAAAACATTACGACTAATCAAACTCAGTTACAATTTACAAGGAACTTGACGCATTGGACACAGGCTTGTCCGATTGCCATATCTTATAATGATCGGGCAGATATTATGGAATTCGACTAACTATACTCTGACTTGTCATAATTGTTCTTTTTATACCTGTGTGAATTTCTCCACCCCCCTTAATAGTTCTTTACAGGACATTTATCTGCTGAAAGCACGCTCTGCGATATGGATACCAGTCCAACTGTCCCGTCCTTGGCAAGATTCCCCAACCATGATGTTGTTTCATCGGTTGGTAGAATATCTGAAAAGAGGCAAAAGAATGATTGGCATGATCATTGCCCTTATCATGGGGCTTCTAGCTGCCACTGCCACGGCGGCTACGGCTGGAGTAGCCTTGCACCAAGGCGTGCAAACTGTACACTATATAAAACAGTGGCACACTAACTCTGAGCAGTTACGGACGTCTCAGAGGCGGGCTGACTCAGAAAGTAATGCTAGACTAGGAGACTTAGAACAAGCTGTAGTTATGTTAGGAGATCAAATAGTTTACAACGTCAGATACATCTTAGATGTAATTGGAACACGTCTACCTTTTGTGTCACTCCTATTCCTTGGAATCAAACACACTCTCCTTGGTCTATAGTATGAAAACATTAATATACCACTCACATAACGTGACTGAAGAAATTGGGGAATTACAAAACCATATTCCTACTACTTTTCAAAACCAACTACAACGAGTTTCTGGGACTGCCTTAATACAAGGGCTGCAGGAAGGCTTACAAAAGTTAAATCCTCTTAATAGTCTTAAAGCAGTGGGAGGAGGTGTGGCTGGAATTTCCATTCGCTGTTGTATTGCTTTTTGTCTCCTACACAGAGTCTGGAGAGGAGCTGGCCGATCGCAAAACTTAATCACCAAAGCACAGCACAAGGTAGCTGCCTTCTCTATCCTGCTTCATCGAATTCAGCAAAAACAAAAAGGGGGAAATGGAGGAAAAGGTCAGCAAACAACAAGCAAACTCTGAAGGAGCTGGGCAGCAAGCTTCCCAGGACGCAGATGTCCCCTTGAAAACGAGGGGGACCTTCCTGCCAGGAGCTGAAGCCAGATCCTTATCGTTCAGGGAGCTCGCCCCCAGCAGAGTTATGACCTTAAGGAAAATATTAAGCATATAGCTCTCAGAACAAAGCCACTTGCTTTTGCGCATTCTCTGGTTTCTGCTGATCACTGTCTCTCACACCTGCCTTTCTGTAGCTCACAATAAAAACCGCTGGACGGTGAGGAGGGCTGCTGCAGCGCCTCCAGGGCCCCAACCCTCTGCGTCTCCACCTCAATTCCACATCCTCCGTGTCTCCAGTTTCTCCGCGTCCCGCGAGCACAACAGGTAAGTGCTTGTGACACGCCAGTGATTACATATTTAGAATATTGTGTCCATTTTATATCAAACAACAAGATCCCATGCCATCATAAACAGAATCTAAATGCAGTGTTTATGGAAAAAGTGAAATAGAGCCCTCTTTTCATGTCTCCTCTCACTCCATACCACACTTTACAGGAATGGCCAATAATTAAGTCCTATGTTAACTGACTTTTATATTATTTTTCTCTTTCACAATCTTTTTTTTTTTTGCAATTAGACTAGGTTTTATAAGTATATTAACAATTACTTGGACATTAAACATGTTTTCTGGTCTTTACATCACCGAGAATCTTTTTAACTCTTACTCTTCCCTCTTTTAAAGTTTTGCTTTATTTCTTTATATTGATTTATTTTTTTATTCAGATATAATTGACATAGAACCTTTTTCAATTCTGAGTTGTACAAACTTCTCTTTGGTGTTAAGAACAGCTTAAGAAACTTTAAAGTTTGTAATACAGTATGACTATAATTGCTGTGGTGTGCATTAGGATTCATTCCTTGATTGGATGGAGAAATACATGAAGGTTACCTGGGTAATAGACAGAGGAAGGATCCAGGTTTTGGGGGTTGAAAAGGTCTCTGGCAGGGAGAATTCCTGCGCTGTCTCCCAATCCACAGGATTTTATTCCTGCCATTTAAATCCGCTACTCATTGTTTCCATCACCATCACATTTCACCTCTAGGAAATGTTTCCTGACTTCACACCTTGCTACACATCAAATGCCCTCACAATTTTCAGTAATAATATGAATTACATGTTTTTAAAAGTTTTCTTTAGTTTCTGGCATTGACCATTTATAAGGGATTTTTGTCAGAGAGTGTGTAAGTCCCTGCAAAAGAAGGGAGCAGGGTAAAACTTAGATTTTTGTTGTTGTTGTTTTATTTAGTTGTGTTAGGGGACCAAAATTCCGAGGGAAAGAGAGCATACACAACATTTGAAGGCATCACCCTTGAGCTGAAGTTCTTTCCCTTGGTAATCGAGGCAGCCTACCGTTGCCCGGCTCCCTGACTGGCAGCACAATCCTTGCTAGGGTTAGCTCCTTCTTTGAATGTCTGTGGTGTAACGAAAAAATAAACATTTGGGCTTTGTCTACAGTTCCTGGCACACAGCTTCTAAAACCTTGGAATCTCCAATGATAAAATGTCTTTAATATGCTAATGAGATGGCTGTGGCTGGTGGGGGCCCTAGATACCTTCAAGTTACCTGAATGGCCTTTGATTAGAGGATTGGAACTTTCAGCCCCACTCTCTGACCTCTGAGAGGGGCTGTAGGTTGAATTAAATCACTAATGGCCAATTATTTAATCAATTGTACCCATGTAACAAAACCCCCACAAAGACCCCTAAACAGGGTTTCAGGAGATTCCAAGTTGTCAGACACATCAGGGGCCAAGAGGGTGGTGCACCCCACTCCAAAAGACCAGCGGCGCCTGCCTTCAGGATGCTTCCAGACTTAACCCTATGTACCCCTTCATCTGGCCGTTCATTTATATCCTTTGTAAAACACTGGTAAATGTAAGTTAAGCATTTCCCTGAGTTTTGTGAGCTCTTCTAGCAAATTATTGAATTGAAGAGGGGCTGGGAACCTCCACAATTTTGTAGCCAAGTCAGACAGAGGTGTGGGTCACTTGGAGACCCTGTACTTGTGACTGACATTTGAAGAGAGGACAGTCTTACGGGATTGAACCCTTAAACCTATGGAGCCTGATGCTAACACTGGATAGCTGGTGTCAGGACTGAATTGTGGAACAACTAGTTGATGTTAGAATTACTTGGTGTCAGGAGAAAAAAAACAACAGAAAACTTACCATCCCACAAAACACTAAGAACTTACCATCCCACAAAAGTGCAAGACTGAAATGAAAGCCATTTTCTATTGCTCTGTGTGTCACAAGTGCACCCATCTCTGGGTCATAGCTCAGTTAAATGCATTTCTTTAAGCACGGGGATGCTTACCTTTGCCTCCAGCTCCTGCCCCTGCAGACTTGGGGAGGCCGATTATCTCAGTGTAATTTAACAAAATAAACAGGAGAGGAAGAAGGTTACTTGTCTGAGAGAAATAACTCAAACTACCATAAAGATTAAAGTACTTAAAAGCCAGTCAGAGAAAGACAAGTAGCACATGATTTCACTCATGTGGAATCTGTGAACAAAATGAA